AAAAAAAAAAAAAAAAAGTATATATATATAAAATTTGCCCAAATTTTTAATCATTTAAGAAAATAGTAATAATATTGGACATGTAAAATAATATGCCAAAAGCGACTGGCACTTACCAAGTTGGTATATTAAATGAAAATCACCGTAAGAGATGGAGCATAAGTTCGTTTTTCGTCTCATTGAGATGGCGAAGTATCTGAAACTGATAGTGAAGTTAGAGGATAAGACACACTCGTACAAAATCTACCTTTATGCTTAATCAACTTTGTAAGATGCTGTTGTCCTTCTTGTGTACATTTATATTTAATTAATGGTTCATGTATACTCCAGGTGAAATTTCAACCATAGAATTACAATGTATATCTAGAACGTTCATATAATATTTATTCATCTAATTAATTAACAGAGCTTTGTTGGTAATGAACAGTCCGAAGCACCCCATTTTTCTTTAACTTTGTGGGAATGACACATTTTAAATTATTAGTAGTGATGGCATTTATGTTTTTGTCTTCTGATAGAAAGAGAGAAACCGTAAACATGCGTTGCTTTTAATATGAGATAACCACTTCACCTACCCTAAGTAAAAGCACTGATGCGTTTCACATATTATGGATATACATATACATATTCGATTCTGATTTATTTGAATTGTTGGGTCCATCTTTGTTTATAAGACGACTCTCAAACACCATTATTTTCTTGTCTGATCAATTTATAAAGTTTTTAATTCTCCTTAAATTATCTTCATCATATGAGAAATAATGACTCTTTGAATCTTTCTTTTAATTATGTTTTCGGTTTTTTTAAGAAGTAAGGTTGTTTATGTCTCACTGATTTTTTTTTTTTTTTTTTTTAAATAAATTTCTCTCATTTGATCAAGGTTAAAAAAGAAAAAAAATGCAATTGGTTACAGTATTGTGGTTTTTTTGCTGCTCCTGTATAGGTTTGGTTGTCTTCTTTTGCAGTAGCCTGGTTGGTTTTTTTTTTTGTGCATTTCAGGTTGCTTATTTTGAGCATAAGGATAGGTGTTCTTTCCTTTTGCTTTTTGTTTGTACAGCGTGACTCTTGGTCATGTCCAAGAGTTAGGATTGTGTATATTATTCTTTATTCTTTATACCGAGTTCATTAAAAAAAAAAAAAAAAAGGTATTGTGGTTGATGGCTGTGGGCAATAAAATCTTTGGATAGTAATGAAGTAATAGATTAAGAGAGAATAAGTGGCCTTTGAAACCTGATGTAACCCTTCAGTGGGAGCAGTTGTTCTCCAACAAATTAAGGTCATTCAGGTGATGAGATAGCTAGGCGATATTGCATAACTAGGTTATAGATTGGCTATATATATACATATATTGTCTAATCATGTATGCATCTTCTTCTCCATTATACTGTAATTAGGTAGCTAGCTCCTTCATTTTTCAAAGTGGCCAACTTGGCCGAATGGGTATCCTATTCATGTATGCTTTCAAGATTATGTGCGTAATAAGGGCACTAGTAAACACATGATGTTAGGCATCTCTCAAGTGTTGACTTCTACTATATATATATTGAAGTTTTTTTACGATAAATTATTCCTTATTATTCACGACAAGTATATTACTATATTTTTATTGATAAAAATGTTTATATTTCATTTATTGTATATAAAAAGTCTGATAATTCATTGTTATAATATTCTTATATTAATGATTACTTGTTTGAATAGAGAAACTATATAATTATGAGTGTAGAAGCAGAATTTCTTATAAAAGAAACTTCAATAAATATTGAAGGTGTAATATAAAGAGAAGCGGTCAGGAATAAAGAAAAGCAATGGAAAACAGAAGAGCAATGGAGAGGATAAAAAAGGTATAAAGAACAGAGAAAAAAGAAGAATGTAAGGTAAAGGTTGTCGGGATGGAGTACATGTAAAATTTGGAGGCAAAACACTTCAACGGAAATAAGAAGAACAGAGAAGTTGATTTCTCACATTGTGTTTTCTCATTTTTCTCTCGAGCCAAACATCATACTCACTCAAATTTCCTGAAAATCTATATTGAAGATTTTGGGATCTTCAATAAGTAATATGTTTGGATATATATATATATATATAATACTTTCTTATTTTAAAACTCAGTTATATATAAATCTTTAATTAATTTAACGATATAAAGGTTCATTATATGTGATTAAAGGATGTGGACAAGAGAAGATGATGCAACAAAAGGTGACAAGAAATTTAATGTAGGTATCAAAAACAATACGGCCGGCTTCATAAATATTGATGCTTTGTCTTTAGTCTTACGGGACAAATTCAACGTTTCTCATGCATGAAATTAGCTTATTTATTAATCTCNGATATAAAGGTTCATTATATGTGATTAAAGGATGTGGACAAGAGAAGATGATGCAACAAAAGGTGACAAGAAATTTAATGTAGGTATCAAAAACAATACGGCCGGCTTCATAAATATTGATGCTTTGTCTTTAGTCTTACGGGACAAATTCAACGTTTCTCATGCATGAAATTAGCTTATTTATTAATCTCACATGTTTTACCTACTTTTTCTTATCACAATCGGACTCGGACTCGGCCTCACCTATATCAAATTCTAAATTATTATGTCACATTTTCAAATATTCATTGGCCCATTCGATGCAGTGACACATATTAATTGTATATGACATTTCTATTTTTGGAGCTAGCGTAATGCCTAATTCCGAGAAAATTCCATGAAATTGAGTTCGGACTTCACAGGTTGGAAAATTCAAATAGAAACAGACAAAAGATTGCCAGGATCTACGGCTATCTATCCAATAAATATGAAGTATATACATGTATATCTTCATCCTTATGTAAGGCTATCTAGACTTTTTATTGTCAACCTTCAAAAGTATATAATAAAGTTATAAAAATCTATGAAAAAACTTTTTATTTAAATATAAATTTATTTTTTTCCTTATTTCTCAAATCAGGCTAATTTTCTAATATTAATTTAGCCAAAACTACAATGAGGTGTAATTATATATACCTAGAAATACATTTTCTTAATTATATAATAGTACAAACTTGTTTATATACATTGGAATGTGTCTTATAATGTTGTAATTGTTTCATTAAGATTACAAATGCAATAATAAATATGTTGTTTGATTACTCTTGTTCCATATGTTGCTAATAATCAAGCACGAAGTGTCTCTATCTGGTGAACTTTGGTAATTTTCTTCATTATTTTAAAATTAAATTTTTCACAACATTAAAATTAATAGGTCAAAACGCATGGTGAAACTGGATTCATGAATGTGTTTAATTTCTTGTCCATTCTTCACAAACCTATAAGAAAAATGGGTCACGGTTTGAAGTAATTAATTTTCGCAGAAAATAAAAACAAAACTAATACATTCATCCATAAATCAAAATATTGACTTCTTCCGTCAACTTATTCTTGTTTTAATAGACTTCAATGTATTGTTATACGCAGAAGATTCTTTCCCTCACGTTTCAGGAAGAAGAGAATCAACGTAACAGTAACATCCTCATAATTAAAACAAATATGTTGTGACGTGGAACCTTAAACTATTCAAATGGAAATATGATTTACGTTACAAATAATATATATCCATTGTTTGAATGTGGTTTTGCCATTGGGTGGTTGGTGATAAGAATTAGACTAACTCATCTTATGAAAGGTTTGTTAAATAAATAATATTTTAATTTGGTTTGTTATAACCATAATTAATGCTGTTTTAAACAACCGGGAAAAGGGAAAAGACAAGGAGTTTAGTACTTATTACAAGGTGAACCAGCTGGTTTTGGTGGATCCAAACACGAAGTCAATTAATATTGGAAATAATATAATGGATTTATGTAAACAATACGTCAACACCATCATTTCATTGCCACCCTTACCATAGGCAACTGTATCTGGAAAATCTACTCTTTATTTCTTTTCTTATAGCAAGTCCCTAGTCTTCTTTTTAATTCATTAGTTTTGGAAATCTGATACTAAATGAATAACTATTAGTTTTGGAAATACAACCTTAACTGTTGTGTGTTTGACCTTTCTTTTATTAAATATTTGTTGGTTCTAAAAAATATATTTATTTTTCAATATTGTTGACAAATTTTTGATGTTAGATTTGATTGAATTTAGATGAATAGCAAAAACATCATTTCCTTATAAATTTAAATAAAATAACCTAACAACCCATAAAAAAATGGAATTTAAGATTGTATTTTCAAAGTCAGCGTATGTTTATTATAAAAGGGCCAAACACACAGAACTTTATTATAGAAAGCCTTTTGTTACAATTTAATAAATCATATGTACCTTATTATAAATTTGACATTATAGATTAGTATAGAACTTTAGTTCACCTAATAAATAGCCTACAGATCCTCATGAAGCTATAACAACCCAATTCTTGTCTTTTTTATACAAATTACAGAGAATTAAACACGTGCTTTTATGAATTATGACAAGTCAAACTCAAAACTGTATATTACTGATAATGTTCAGACTGATTTGTGAAACACGTGAAATATTTAATGTTCGTACTCGGTTAAATCTATGTGAAACATGACCTTAAGTAGTCAATATTTTTTGTCCTCTTCTCTTTTTAATACCATTCAATCCGTGTTTTTTTCCTGGTATTTGGACTTTTACAATGTACAATTTTGATATTTATGATAAAAAAAAAAAAAAATTCATATTTACAGCATTTATGATTTATATTTTTATTTAAGTTTAATATCAATTATCACATTTAATGTTATGTACATAAATATAATTGCAAGTCCTATGTTTATGGAAATATTATAACTAATTAACCATGACTTAACACAAATTTATGCACATAAAAACTTAAACTCAATTCTCGATTTCCTACTGCTAGTACACGTGCAATGCACATGCTGACTGTAGTTATGTAATTAAAATTAAAGAAAAATAATAATTTCCTCCAGATGTCCCCATCATTTATGCCTCGTAAGCCTCTCTCGTACTATAGTATAAACATGATCATTTGTATCCTTCATCTCAACATTCAACAAGAACTCTCTCACTCTTCTCATACATTTCTCTAACTGCCTTTCATCACTATGGCTCTTTCTGGCTATTCCATTGCAACTAAACAATCTCTATTACCATTCTTCCAACCTTCAAGACCAAACATCTCCTGCAAACAACCGGTCAGTAATATATACTATGTTCTGTTATGTGTGTGCTTCTTTCATGATCTGACTATAATAATGGTTTACTTGATGTGTTCCAGTTCTTTGTGAGAGCATCATCAGCAGATGGGGAGAAAAAGATGGCGATTAAGCGAGAAAAAGATGGCGAGAGGATTGGTTTCTCAGGTGAAAAACCTGATACTCCTTTGCTGGACACAATTAATTATCCACTTCACATGAAGAATCTATCTACACAGGTGAATTAAACGTGCTTGAGCGATGTAACATCATGTGCTTTCTTCAGGATAAGTTTGTTTGTTTACTATGAATTGTTAATACATTTTCAGGATCTTGAACAACTGGGGACAGAGCTTAGAGAAGATATTGTGTACAGTGTATCTAAGACAGGTGGGCATCTTGGTTCAAGCTTGGGAGTGGTTGAACTATCAGTTGCATTGCATCATGTCTTCAACACACCTGAAGATAAAATTGTATGGGATGTTGGACACCAGGTGAGGCAGAGTCACTCAAGTCCAAATAGATGAAGAAGCAGCCAAAGCTTCAGGTTCGCTAACGTTAAACTGTGAATTTTGCAGGCCTATCCCCATAAAATTCTGACAGGAAGAAGGTCCAAGATGCATACCCTGAGGAAAACTTCAGGGCTTGCAGGATTTCCTAAAAGGGATGAGAGCATTCATGACGCTTTTGGTGCAGGACACAGTTCCACAAGCATCTCTGCCGGTCTTGGTAAACACTTCTCACCGCAACTGTATATATAATTATAGAATTGTTAGATGGGAATTTTAGAATATAATAATCAATGTATTTATTTAAAAATATTCAGGTATGGCAGTTGCAAGGGACCTTCTGGGAAAGAAAAATAACGTTATTTCGGTGATCGGAGATGGAGCCATGACTGCAGGACAAGCATATGAGGCCATGAACAATGCAGGATTCCTTGATACTAATCTGATTGTTGTGCTGAACGACAACAAACAAGTATCTCTACCCACTGCTACTCTTGATGGCCCCACAACACCGGTTGGAGCCCTCAGCAATGCTTTAACCAAGCTCCAAGCCAGCACCCAGTTTCGTAAACTTCGTGAAGCAGCAAAAGTAAACCTCATATTCGCACATATCATTTATCTTCATAGTCTAATTTCCTACCTCTCTTCAGTACTAAAAGACGTCTGACTTGGTGCTATTTTTCTTTGGTTGAAGAGCATCACGAAGCAAATTGGCGGGCCAACACATGAAGTTGCAGCAAAGGTAGACGAGTATGCAAGAGGAATGATCAGTGCCACTGGGTCAACTCTATTCGAGGAACTAGGGTTATACTATATTGGTCCAGTAGATGGGCACAACGTTGAAGATTTAGTAACTATTTTTCAAAAGGTGAAAGCAATGCCTGCACCGGGACCAGTTCTGATCCATGTTGTGACAGAGAAAGGGAAAGGCTATACCCCAGCTGAGTCAGCGGCTGATAAAATGCATGGTAAGACATCAACTTTACATTGCAATGGCAGTGTCATAAGCCATAGAAATAGTCCTTATTCTCTTATGCTTGCAGGAGTTGCCAAGTTTGATACAAAAACAGGCCAGCAATTAAAGTCCAAATCCTCTACACTTTCATATACACAGTATTTTGTTGAATCTCTAATAAAAGAAGCCGAGACAGACAATAAGATTGTGGCCATCCATGCAGCAATGGGTGGTGGCACTGGCCTCAATTATTTCCAGAAGAAGTTCCCAGATCGCTGTTTTGACGTGGGGATAGCTGAGCAACATGCTGTTACTTTTGCAGCTGGTTTAGCCACAGAGGGCCTCAAACCATTTTGTACAATCTACTCATCATTTCTGCAACGAGGATATGATCAGGTAAGTCAGCAAAGTAGATGAATAAGTTGAACTGTGGTAGGCTATGTAATTCTTTTTTCCTTTTTTGTTGTTTTATTGCAAAATTTAACACTAATACTTTATCTTGGACATGAAGGTGGTACATGATGTAGATCTTCAAAAGTTACCGGTTCGCTTTGCAATGGATCGAGCTGGTTTGGTTGGTGCCGATGGACCCACACACTGTGGAGCATTTGATGTCGTGTACATGTCTTGTTTGCCCAATATGGTGGTCATGGCTCCATCTGATGAAGCTGAACTTATGCACATGGTTGCCACAGCAGCAGCCATAGACGACAGGCCCAGTTGCTTCAGATTCCCAAGGGGCAATGGAATTGGAGCTGTTCTCCCACCTAATAACAAAGGAACCCCACTGGAGGTTAGCATAAGTTGCCGACATTTTAATATGCAAAGAGAAAAATACAGAACAAACTAACCATTACTTCCTTTTGATAATTCAACAGATTGGTAAGGGAAGAATACTAATGGAAGGAGATAGAGTTGCTATTCTAGGTTATGGTTCTATAGTTCAACAATGTGTGGAAGCTGCAAGCTTGCTCAGGAACAGAGACATATCTGTCACAGTTGCTGATGCAAGATTTTGCAAACCTTTGGATACAGATCTCATCAGGCAACTGGCCAAAGATCATGAAATCCTAATTACTGTGGAAGAGGGTGCTATTGGAGGTTTTAGCTCTCATGTAGCGCACTTCCTAAGCTTAAGTGGTATTCTGGATGGACCTCTCAAGGTATTTCCTCTTTGAAATGAAAGTTTCAAGCAAATTTTTAATCTTATTTCTTCTTTTCCTTTTTATTTATTGAGGTCCTAATTCTTGAGCATTCCTTCTGCAGTTGAGAGCAATGGTACTTCCTGATAGATATATAGACCATGGATCACCCCAGGACCAAATTGAAGCAGCAGGGCTCTCCTCAAGACATATATCTGCAACAGTTTTATCCCTCTTGGGAAGGCAAAAAGAAGCACTTCTGCTTAAGTAAGCACACAAAATAGATCAGCATCTTGCCTTCTGTGTCCATCTCAGAAATTCATACTGGGGTATATATACACCAAGTTCAAGACCGCAATTTTTAGACTGATATCCCCATACCTACAAAGCTTTGTCAGTATATCGGATTACTAATGTAATTGTCAAGGCCTCAATTGTGTCTGTACATTAAGTAGTTATATTGTAGCCAAGGCATAAAACGCCAATTTCAAGAGAAAATAAAATATAGCAAAATTTGCAAGCATTTTCAGGATAACACTTTCTCTCTCTCCCACTTTTATCTGTTTGTTTCAAGAAAAAGAATTGTGAAACAAGTGATCATGCACTGAGTGCAAAATTGTCAGGATATGCTTCAATTATTCCAGCCATAATTTTAAGAAACCCACCAAGTAAATAACTGTTATATCATGATCTAGATAAGTAATTAACAAGACATTTTGATCAGCCAACCATATTGGGCATCAGTAGAGACTGAATAATGAAATTGCCTACAAGTAGATCTTTTCCAGGTTACCGGAAGATCCCTCACCAAGTAACTAACGACTGAATCATGATCCAGGCAAGTCATTCAGTTGGTATTTTGGTCAGCCAACTATATTAATGGGCATCAATGCAGACAGAACAAGGAAATTGCCTACAAGTAAATCTTTTCCATGATACTGAAAGATTCAATGGTTGAAAATTCTGATTACTTTAGCTTTTTGGTTTTAGGTTAGAGGTAACTCTCCCACCAATTAAATCTCCAATCCACAGTAAAGATTGGAGTCAACGAGTACAGCAATAAGAGACTTCACAGACTATTATATTTGGACAAGGAAGAGAACAAAAGAAAAATTAAAGCAATTTATTTCTTTAGAATGAGGAGACATCCCTCATAAATTAACAAACATAGAAATTCAAATACCAAAAATAGCATCATCATACATCTTGACCCCAACGTATAATAATTCTAATACCAACCCTTAAGTTGGAGCATGAATACCCAAGATTTCCATTGTTTAATAGAAAGGACCATTGAGGTAGTACATATACCCTAATTGAGCATCTAAAAGCGCACATCTAACAATTTGTTTTCCTATTACCCTATCACAAATAATTTGACTATCTACTTCAATATGCTTTGGTTCTTTCATAAAATACAAGACTACTAGCAATATACAAGCAACTTCATCAAGACTCTTCAATAAAAAAACCTCATCTCTTGTAAAATAGATTTTACCGGTAAAATCAACAAATTATGAGTAATTTCTCTACATTCAGCCTCAGCACTACATTTCGCTAGTTGCTGCCACATTAGTTCCATATTTTTCACAGTAACAAGGTTGACCCATGGAAATACAGAATCACTTTACAACTCATCTATCTAAATGATCAAAAAATTTCAAGATTACCCCACTATTATTGTTAAGGTAACTATTATGTGGTTTCAAAGCCAGCTGATACTTCAAGTTTCTCTTTAATAATACAAAATTTCACTTGGGTAATACAAAATAAACTCAACATAGTTCTTATATCACTCTCAATATCTTGGATGAAGCCAACTTTCAGCTATGAAAATATGAATTTCCTCTACAATAATAATCCAACTCGTTGTAGAATTCTTCTCTAAATGCATGTACTCAATAACAATGCTCCAACCACCAGAAGCTTAAAAATACTTCAGAGCAGAACATTAGTCCCTCATCACCCAGTGCAACTTTCAGATCCTACACTATCTCAACCATAAACTCTTGTCAGTTTAACTTTTAACCAAGTTTTAAGGTTCTGATTCTTCTGAGGGTTCCCTCTTCAGAGAAACGAATGCAGTATCCTGTATACCCCCCTGCCACACAGTTAACTCTCTAGGGGTGGCAAAGAGTGTTCAATCAACTACAATAACTTTGCCATTTGCTAAGTGACAAATATGACAGCCTCAAATTCAAAGAAAAATCAAGTAAAGTAAACTAATGTCCAAAATTAATTAATACCCTTCTCCAAGTATTATCACTATCACGGAAAAATAGTGAACTAATGAAAAAAATAAACGACAGCTTAAAGTTCTTCTTAGTTTAAAGTCAAGCTGAAAGATGCTTCAAGATGAACACCAAATTGGATTGATATTTCCCTAAAAGTTTTACACGATAAAATGACGAAGTTAGCAATTCAGTCAAAAACTAAATACCTTAACAAATTGGTTCCTCGCTGAGGTAAAACTCCAGTAAGCAACCCATTAAACTAATGACCTAGGAGCTTGCAGTACATTCATAAAATAATCCAGCTGTTGTGACAACAAACTATTCATAAGTCAGCTGTCAAACATAAGTGTGTCCTAGAATATTATTGCTAATCCACAATATCTACAGACCTAATCTAGCAATTCCATTAACAATCAAATAACTTCACAAATTTGGTTCTCACCTTTGTTGAAATCTGAGAAACAATCGATGCAGGCCACTCTACATATGTTGAAACCAAATGGTGTTACATCAGTCATCTGTTGATGCCAATGGGAGTTTCTGAAGAAGAGAAATAGAAATGGATAAATGCGCACTGCGCTATCGAGAAATAAGTAAAGACATTGCACAGGATTCATCTATAATCACGACAGCAACAGAAGCCATCTTTAAATTGATGAAATTTCTTTGAATCTGTGGCATTATCCAAGTATGACAATCAACACATGGTAAGTTTCTCAATGAGATGATGCAAAGATCTCTTTTTCTGTTCTCATCTAAGACCTTAGTCTTGCATAAAAGATCTAGAATCGGAACATAACCCAAATTTTAACCATCTTAATTTTGGGACCAATCCCAGCATGAAAGTATACATCTTCCCATCAACATCAAATTGAAAGATCCTTTTTAATCTCATCTTTCTCATTTTGTCCTTCATCTTCTATAATTGGCCCATCATTCTATTTTAATTCTCACAAAAGCCCCTAAAGCTTCATCTAGGCCTCCTTTCTGGGAGAAACCAACAATCAACACTAGTCAATCCCAAATTTATCATTTTATATAACTGATTGCTAAAGCAAGTGGGTATCATAGAATTCAAAGTAACCATGTGTCATTCAGGCAATTCATCGAACAGTGTCCGAGCATTCATAATGCCACAACTTTTAACGAATAAACCCACTAGCTTATCGTCTATAAAGTTGTTGAAGATTAGGTAAGGAGTGGAAATGTAGATTGTTTTATTGATATGGAATTGTATTGAATAGACATTGCCGTATTTGTGAAAACTGATAAGAGTGAATGAGGACCGTGTCCAAGTTTTTATAGCAGTATTGTAGCATTCCTCTTTGAATACCTTAATAAATGGGTTTTTTTGGATGTTGTATAATAACAATAACTCTTGGCATTTATTTTGTTACACAAATATGACCAAACACATAATTTATTTCATAATTTAATTTTCTGATAATACTTTCCAACGCAATCAATGTTTTTTTTTTTTTCATATCTGTCACAGTTGCTGATGCAAGATTTGCAAACCTTTGGATACGATCTCATCAGGCAAATGGCCAAAGACATGAAATCCTAATTACGTGGAAGAGTGCTATTGGAGGTTTTAGCTTCATGTTGCCACTTCCTAAGCTTAAGTGGTATTCTGGATGGACCTCTCAAGGTATTTCCTCTTTGAAATGAAAGTTCAAGCAAATTTTAATCTTTTCTTCTTTTCCTTTTTATTTATTGAGGTCCTAATTCTTGAGCTACTTCTGCAGTTGAGAGCAATGGTACTTCCTGATAGATATATAGACCATGGATCACCCCAGGACCAAATTGAAGCAGCAGGCTCTCCTCAAGACATATATCTGCAACAGTTTTATCCCTCTTGGGAAGGCAAAAAGAAGCACTTCTGCTTAAGTAAGCACACAAAATGGATCAGCATCTTGCCTTCTGTGTCCACTCTCAAAATTCATACGGTATATATACACCAAGTTCAAGACCGCAATTTTTAACTGATATCCCCATACCTACAAAGCTTTGCCAGTGTATCGGATTACTAATGTAATTTCAAGGCCTCAATTGTGTGTGTACATTAAGTAGTTATGTAGCCAGGCATAAAACGCCAATTTCAAGAGAAAATAAAATATAGCAAAATTTGCAAGCTTTTCAGGATAACACTTTCTCTCTCTCCCACTTTTATCTGTTTTTTCAAGAAAAAGATTGTGAAACAAGTGATCATGCACTGAGTGCAAATTTCAGGATATGCTTCAATTATTCCAGCCATAATTTTAAGAAACCCACCAGTAATAAACTGTTATATCATGATCTAGATGTAATTACAAGACATTTTGATCAGCCACCATATTGGGCATCATAGAGACTGAATAATGAAATTGCCTACAAGTAGATCTTTTCCAGGTTACCGGAAGATCCCTCACCAAGTAACTAACGACTGAATCATGATCCGCAAGTCATTCAGTTGGTTTTGGTCAGCCAACTATATAATGGGCATCAATGCAGACAGAAAAGGAAATTGCCTACAAGTAAATCTTTCCATGATACTGAAAGATTCAATGGTTGAAAATTCTGATTACTTTAGCTTTTTGGTTTAGGTTAGAGGTAATCTCCCACCATTAAATCTCCAATCCACAGTAAGATTGGAGTCAACGAGTACAGCAATAAGAGACTTCACAGACTATTATTTGGACAAGGAAGAGAACAAAAGAAAAATTAAAGCAATTTATTTCTTTAGAATGAGGAGACATCCCTCATAAATTAACAAACATAGAAATTCAAATACCAATAGCATCATCATACATCTTGACCCCAGCTATAATATTCTCATAATTCTTCCAACCTTCAAGACCAAACATCTCCTGCAAACAACCGGTCAGTAATATATACTATGTTCTGTTATGTGTGTGCTTCTTTCATGATCTGACTATAATAATGGTTTACTTGATGTGTTCCAGTTCTTTGTGAGAGCATCATCACCAGATGGGGAGAAAAAGATGGCGATTAAGCGAGAAAAAGATGGCGAGAGGATTGGTTTCTCAGGTGAAAAACCTGATACTCCTTTGCTGGACACAATTAATTATCCACTTCACATGAAGAATCTATCTACACAGGTGAATTAAACGTGCTTGAGCGATGTAACATCATGTGCTTTCTTCAGGATAAGTTTGTTTGTTTACTATGAATTGTTAATACATTTTCAGGATCTTGAACAACTGGCGACAGAGCTT